GTTATGACATATTTAAAATGAATGGCCCTCTTGCTTCTATCTTTTCAAAGGCAAGCCTTGAGAGTGTCTTTGTACTTCCCTTCATGACACTTTGGAGGATCTTTTGATGTCTCTTATCATTTCTGGTTTTGTCAGATTGGCAGCACCCGATAGAAGACTAAGGAAGAAAGTAAGTCTCTTTCTCTGAAGCTGGTCAAGGTTTGGATGTGGGTAGAATCTGCAAGTGTCTTGAACAGCAGTCTGAGGACCTTGAATTCAAGGGCTGTTGTAAGAGAGGCTATTGAAAATTCATCTTTGTTTCAAAGTAGTTTATGATTTAACCTTTACAGGCTACAAGGCGAATGGCTTGACAATCAATAGGATTAATTCCACTGAAGAAAACTCATTTGTCTCTATTCAGAATAGCCCTGTCTTTAAAGAAAAGTAGGCCAGAGTGCATAGAATCACTTAAAAAAAATTAATCTGTATTATGCATTTAAATGTAAATTATTCAGTTTTAATTTAACAGATTTTATTCCTTATCTTACTATCTTTGGAGTTTACAATTTTTTTTTTTTTTTTTTTTTTTTTTTAATCGGTATCACCTCATGGAAGGCAGTAAAGCCACTAAGACACAAGGGATTACACAGTGTGGAAGAATTAGGAACAGAAACATTAATAATGAATGGGAAGAGGAAAGAGTAATCAGGAGGACTGTAGATAGTGATTAGCATTGCATTTAAATTTTTGCAGATTAAATTTGGCTGGAAAGTATGGAATCAGAAGGGAGTCCCACAAATGAGAAGTGTGAGAAAAGAAACTGCTATCATAGAATTTAAAACAGAGAGTGGGGAGTAAAGAGTGAAAACAGAGAGCGGGGAGTAAAGAATGAAAACAGAGAGTGGGGAGTAAAGAGTGAAAACAGAGAGTGGGGAGTTAAGAGTTATATATAGCCATCTCAACTGTAAAATGATGAGATCTTGATACTAGTCTAGTCTTGCACTTGAATTCATAAAGTCCATGTACCATAGTGAGGAGTTCATCCAAACAATTACTAATGAAAGTATTTATAGAAAAGGCAAAGAGAGGCAACCTTATGGTGGTGAAAAAGTGACTGAAGCCGAACTGCTAGATCAAGACCAATAATATTGCTGATTCTTCTTTGGATTTCATCAAGGAGCTCAAGGTAAATACCAGGGGCACCGGACCATATGGGGCAGAAATATTCTAAGAATGAATGAATGGTAGACTTTTAGATATGTAAGATAGATTCTGAAAAATTGTCTCACATGACACAGTAAACCAATTTTCTTAGCAGATGCTGTAGCAATGAATTTAATATAGTCTTTCCACTTCATTTCAACTGAGAACGTTAGCTGGAGAAGGCGCAATGAGTCACCTTTCTGATGGTTAGCATCAGCCATACTGATGGAAAGCAGAGAAATGATTCTGAATTATTTTATTATTTGAACAATTGAATTATTTTAAAGTTGCTTCTCACATAATTTTACTTTTACAGATTTTGCTCTCTAGAATTTTTATTACTAATGTTAATAATAATAGTAGCCATTTCTTTACAAGGAAACATTCAACATTCATTGACTATCATAAAAATTTTTTCAAGGAAATAAGTTTCTTAAGTCCAGTAACTGTCAGCATTGTTTTTTTAGTATTGATGGAGGGGGATCCTTCCTAACCTTTTATTTGAAGTAATGTGGTACATCAACATCTTGATTATTATATTTTCTCTGGTATAATGGTGAAGGATGCAGCCTTGTTTGATGCCATTTGAATAATGTAATGGAACTAAAAAAATGGTTTCTTTGAATTTGTCGCTTATATAGCCAGTATTGCTTGACCTTTACTGGGGTAATAATTGAATTTTTCTTCAGCCATTCTGTATTCTCATCATATTTTTTGCTTGATTAAACTAATTAATGTCTATTGATTGTTCTAAATTCCAATAATTGCTTCTTTTTTTTCATGACTTAATTTTGCACATTTTAGGGATTCAATACCTCTGGCTATAATGCAGCATTTTAACTACACTCATTCACCCAATTCCAAAAAAGCTTCTTAAACAAAGTAGTAATAGAAAATAAGAAGGAAGACTAACTATTAACTGTAAGAAGACAGAATACATGGTTGTCAGTCAGCAAAAGAGACACCCCAAAGTGTAATCTAGGTATTGTGGATACCAAAACCAAACTGGTACAGAAAATAAACTATCTGGATACTGTAGAAACACTCACTCACCCGTCAGCCAATTTCAAGTAGGTCTTGTGAGCTGTCAGCCCAGAAGCACCTCCATATATTGAGGTCTTCTGTTAATATAAATAGTGAAGCTGTATTCATTGCCCGCTTGCTAGGCCTGTCACATAAGGGCAGGTTGATTTTTCATTTTCATAGAAAATCAACATTGCACTGAGTGTGAAAGCTGGGGTTTGATATGATAAGTACCGACACCAAATATTAGATTTATAGCTTTTACTAATTTTTAAGCATTTAAAGACTGCCTGAAAAAAATGTACAGAAATAATTAATTTCTGCATATTTGTACTTACAAACTGACTTCAAAATTTTACTATTTCAAGAATAAATCCAAATAAAAATGATATCCTTTGCATTAGATACATTGAATGGAAAATATATTCAAACCAGAATTCTAATTATGAATCACCAGAAGCAAAATATGCAATTTCTTTTTTGGTAAGTAAAAACTGTATAAAAAAAAATGTAAAAGATTACACAAAAAGCTACTTAATGAATAAGATTTGTTACATCATTTGTTAGATCATCTATATAATAAATGCAAATGTCAGTGTGTCACACTTTTTCAACTTTACTCCTAGAGACCATAGCCCAACATATGATACCATTTTGGAATCAGGCTGACTCTGTGAGCAAATTAAAAACCTTCTGGGCCAGATCTAGACCCACAATCCTGAAATTTTGGATTCCCAATTTTTCCTTACTGCAATTGTTTTTTGGCAATTTTTGCGATAACAATTTTTATAACTTGGAAATAAATTTGGTAATAATCAAAATTAATTGTGAAATCCAGTGAAAGTCAACCATGAAATAAAAAAAAATTGTTTATACAGAAAGTAAGGACCTACATACATCAAATTGTCTTTAAATTAAGTGGTGGCAGAAGAAATATTGCTGAACTTTTCAAAGGTCAGCTTTAATAGTAATGCTATACTTAAATACAGTGATCAATTTTGTGTTCTTTGTAGTCTATTGTTGCCTACTGCATTCACTCCTCTGTACCTATTGTGATGAAGGCCCAATCAAGAACCCTCCACAGGAGCTAGATTAAATGCCGCTTGATAGGTCAGTTTTTAAGCTAATAATTAATAAAAACAAAAATTAGATAAAAGTGTATATAACATCATAATACTGCTGGGCACACATTATAAGTCAAAATATTTTAAATTTGCATTGTTTATTGAAAATTACACTAAAACTACTGCACTGTACAATGGATTACATCATAATATAGTAAATAATATATGCAGTATAATTTCCCTTTGAAGTAAATGAAGGTTTTATTTGATAGCACAATGATTTAGTAATAATGTGCTTGTGCCATGCATCTTGTAATTTGTAAAGCTTCAGTATATTATAAATTTTATAAGGCTGTGTTATAAGGCTTTCACTGATCACTGGAATGAAATTCTAATGCTATGATTTTAAACCTAAACTTAATATTTAAACACATTTCCTAAAAAAACAGTAAGGAATTGGAACATAATATTTTATGTTTTTATTTATCATGCCAAACTCCAAATTTCAAATTGAATTCAACACCACAATTCCAAAATCAATCTGCTCTACTGTCACATAGCTTACAGCACCTAATATTCACTGGCGGTAAACCATCTAATAACTGGGAGTCCTGGATAAGATGATAAACTACATCTAACAGCAAGATCTCTGATCAGGAGATCCAAGATTTTGAGGAGCATGGAACCACCTCTTAATTGTTGTCGTTCCCAGGTCCACCCTGACCTTAGCTGGTAGCATCTGTTAGGGTCCCAGCTATGGGCAAATAGTGAACTCCCCCATCACCTGCCAAACAAAACAGTATGAAAATATAAAAATACATTTTTATAGTAAAAATACCAACAATAAATTTTTATAAAAAAAATTACCATCAATACAATTATAGTAAAATGATTTGCTATACATTTTATCTGTAGTTGAAGGCATAAAAATTGTGTTCAAAATATTTAGATTTCAGTATTAAATAATCCATAGAGGTTGATATGTCGCTAAAAAAATCAAACAAAAAATCTAATAACTGACCAGGCTCAACTTTATTTAATTGGTGATTGAACAAGAACTAATGTTGCAACATGATATAAATAAGAATTTTTTTTTAATCATTTCACCCCAAGCAAGGCAATAAAGCCACAAAGATGCAAGGAGTTACTGAGTGAGAGAGAATCTGCAAAAAAAAAACCAACATTATTTAGGAGCAAGAACAATAAAAGAACATATGAATTAAGAAGACAGAAGTGAAGTTATTTACAGACTATTATGTGATTAGAAAGTTTTCAGAAGATTTTAGTTTCTCTTGGTATATTATTAATAAAAACAAAACTCAATTGAGTCATAGCATTACACATTTTAATTAATGCGTCTTCTGAAATAGAAGGAAAGCGAGTTAGTCAAAAATAATTGCTGATTTGATACATGCATGTCATAGTGTAGGCAATACACCAGTTAACAGTATCAGTACTACTTTATCGAGTGATTTCTACCAAAAAAAAATCACTAGATAGACAATACAAGTTAACTAGATGCTTATTTTAGATTTAATAACAGACTATTTATTATCAACGTTATGCCTCTGCATCTATCCCTTTCTTGCTTGTTGTTCTTTTTTTTTTTCTTTCATTCACTTCTTTCTCTGTTGCTTTTCTTTCCAATCTTAATATTTTTCTCTTCTTTTTTTTGTTGACAGGGAAATTGATGTTTGCTTGCTTTTTTTTTAAATCGTTCTTACTTTCTAGCATCTTTATTGCTATCTTGCTTTGCTTTTTTCTTTCTTCACTCTCCATTTTCATTCTTCACTTTCCACCATCTATTCCCACTCTTCACTCTCTCCTCTCTGTTTTCGCTCTGTTTTCTCTCTCCATTCTCTGTTTTCACTTTCCACTCTCTGTTTTCACTCTTAACTCCCCACTCTCTGTTTTCACTCTTAACTCCCCACTCTCTGTTTTCACTCTTAACTCCCCACTCTCTGTTTTCACTCTTAACTCCCCACTCTGTGTTTTCACCTTAACTCCCCGCTCTCTGTTTCCTCTTTACTCCCCACTCTCTGTTTTCCTCTTTACTCCCGCTCTCTGTTTTCCTCTTTACTCCCCGCTCTCTGTTTTCACTCTTAACTCCCCGCTCTCTGTTTTCACTCTTTACTCCCCACTCTCTGTTTTCACTCTTTACTCCCCGCTCTCTGTTTTCACTCTTTACTCCCCGCTCTCTGTTTTCACTCTTTACTCCCCGCTCTCTGTTTTCACTCTTAACTCCCCACTCTCTTTCACTCTTAACTCCCCGCTCTCTGTTTTCACTCTTTACTCCCCACTCTCTGTTTTACTCTTAACTCCCCACTCTCTGTTTTCACTCTTTACTCCCCACTCTCTTTTTTCACTCTTCACTCTCATTTTTACCTCTCTACTTTCTGTTTTCACTCTCCACTCTTCACTCTCTATTTTCATGTTCACACTCTGTTTTCACCCTTCACTCTCTGTTTTCATTTTTCACTCTCCACTCTCTGTCTTCACTCTTCATTCTCTCTTTTCACTCTCCAATTTCTGTCTTCACTCTCTTATTCCACTCTTCACTCTCTGTTTTTACTCACTGCTCCCACTATCACTCTATGATTTTATTCTCCTATCTTTGTTTTCATTATCTCTCTCTAACTTCCTTCTCTGTTTGTTCCCAAATTTGTCTCTCTCTTTTTCAATCTTCCTTTTTATTTATACTCTTTTATTTTCACTCCCTCTTCACTTCTGTTTTCACTCACCTTTTAGGTTTCATTCTTTCTTTCTCTGTATTTTCACTCTAAATCTTTCTCTGTTTGCATGATACTCTCTGTTTTCTTTCACTCTCTACCAATCTGTTTTCACTCTCCTTTTTCATTTCACTCATTCTTTCTCTGTTTCCACACTCTCTGTCTTAGTTCTCACTCCCCTCTCTATTTTTCACTCTCTTTTCTTCCAACGTCTTTGTCTTTCATGACTTAAGTTTTTCATTTCTTATTTTTTTACTTTTCTTTTTTATCCTATTCTCTCTCTCATTGTCTGATATTTTCTCTTTCACATTCCTTCCCTCTTTTCTTCACTTGACCGTTCTTTAATCCCAGCGCTCTCTCTTTCTCTTTCTCAGAAACTCACACATACTTAATCTCTTTCATTTTTTTATCATTTTTGCTCTCTTTCAACTCTACTTTTTCTTGTTTCTTTCTTTCATCCTTTTTCCCACTACTTTGTTTACACCTCTTTTTTGTTGCTAATTTTCTCTCTCTCTCTCTCTCTCTCTTTATGCATTTAATATTTCTTCTCTATTTTTCTTGCTTTTCCTTTTTCTATTATTCCATCATTCTTTTTTCTCTATGTTTACTAAGCACATTCCCCTCACCTTCATCCTTTCTATCAATTTTCATCTTTCCTTTTCCCTCAACTATCTCCTTCCGTCATATTAATTTCCTGAATATGCTTCATTATACCATGAAGAATGTGCCATAGACAGCAATTTACCTGTAGGACTTTTTTTGCTTCTATCCTCCATTTGAGGGAAGTAGCAAAGAAAAGAAGAAAAAAAGAAAGAATTTAAATAAAAGAAAAAGGAAAAGTGAAAAAGAAAAAAAAAAAAAAACAAAGAAAGAGAAAACTATAATGAAAGAGATAAATAGAAGATATGCTAAAAATGATGAAGAAGTGAGAAAATAAAAAATTAAAGAAAAAATTTAAAAAAAATAAAGAATGAAAATGAAAGTAGAAATTTACCTGTGGAAGGAGAAGAAAGAATTAAAAAAAAAAAGTGAAAGAAACAAACAAGAAATTCAAAGGAAGAAAAGGATAGTGAAAGAGATAAATGAAAGACAAAATAAAATATAGACAAAAGTGATGAAGAGAGAGAGAAAGAGAATGAAAATGTAAAGATAAAAATGACAAATAAGAAAAAAATCAATAGAAAAGAAAATGAGAATTTTATATGCAATGAATTAAGAAAGTCGGAAGAAGAGGAATGAAAAAAGAAAATAAAAAAAACTAAATGAATGAATAAATAAGTGAAAGAAAAGGAGAACTTAATAAAGTCTTGTTTTTGGACATGAAAGATATTTTTGCCTGCAGGTATGAAAGGTGTTCATGGGGGGACGGGGTGAGAACTCTGGAGATGAATGAAAAGAGGTGTGAAGGAATGTAGATGATGAGTGAGGAATGAGTTTTCAAAATGAGCCAAGTTATGAATTACTGGATGCAAAAAAATATGTGTGAACAAGGAAAAAAACAAAAAAGTAAATAAATGTTGTTGCTACATGTCTATCACTTGAGGCAGGTGTGCCAGGTAGGCGTGTCTATTTCACATGGGTGTTGAGAAATGTTTGATTTTATTTTAGTTGTTCAGTATACGTGCGTGCGTTTTGTGCATTTCTCTGTGTACCACTTACTGTTGACACTGATGTGTGAAATAGCTCAGTTGTTATAACAGTGGGAATTTGATGAAGTGGTTTCAATTTCTGTCAACCTGTTAATAATATTTATTGTTTTTGTTATTTTTTGTTGTTATTGTTTTCTTACTTTTTACAGCAACAACTGGTAGAAGATTATCTGGCACAAGATATAACTCATGGAGTGTCAATAGAAATTGACTTATTGTTAACAACTCAAAGAAACAATTGCATATATACACACACCATACACACACACACACACACACATACATATATATATATATAGAGAGAGAGAGAAAGGTTAAATTAAAAAAAACAGACAACCTTAAGGGTCCATAGATTATATTTTATTTCCCCAGAAATGGGATTTTTTTCCTGGTTCCTCACCTTTAAAGTTGTCTGTTTTTTTTAATTTAACTAATATTCAATCTGTTTTTACATTGAGTTCTCAGGATTACATCCTCCTTGGGATTATCCATACGGATTACCAAACATTTCATTACCTTACTCTCTCTCTCTCTCTCTCTCTATATATATATATATATATATTGAATATGATGGACAAGGAATATTTAGTAAGTTTTCGGTTCTGTTTTTCTAGTGTCCTTACAATTTTTTTTCTGAAGGTTAAGTGTGTGGAGGAATTGTCTGTAGTGTTTATTTTCTGAGTGCTTTCAGCAAATTCTTCAGCTATTTTCAAGGGGAGTTTTTCTTCAGTTTCCAAACACAATCAAGACCCCTTAGCTATGTTTTAAAAAAAAAACATGGTATTTAGATATACCAGTTTGTACATATCATCTGGCATTACTTTGTTTACATTTTGAATACAGAAAAATGAGTAGATATGGGCTTTCCAGAAGATCTGAATGAGAAGATGTTCATTCTTCAAAATGTTAATTGAACCTTGCTGGTTTGTGATACCCTCTGTGGTTGGTTTGTCTAAAGCCCTCTGGATCAGACAGTAGTTTCTACTACAAACAAAAACACATTTATTAACTTTCTTGAATGTAATTCACATTGTTTAAACAAAAAGCAAGGTGTCTACTCAAACATGGGTAACCACAAAATAATGTTTGAAGTACTAGTAAGTAATATTGGATAAAACTCCATTGATTCCTTAGATATTTCTTTGTTTACCATTTGGATACAAAAATGAGCAGATACGGGTGTTGTGAATAATTAACAGTGGTCTCCCCTTGTTTTGTTACTCTACTCTATGAGAAAGCTATTCCTATTTACTGGGACTATAAAAGGACACTATACACAAACCTTGTATTCTTAGCTGAATAAAGATTTCTTAAAGCCTACACCTGCATACAATGGGCTTCTAAGAAAATCCAAACAAGATGTGCATTCTTCAAAAGCAGCATAATTGAACCTTGCTGGTCTGTGACACTCAGTGGCTGAGTGGTCTAAGGCACACCAAATAAATGGAGAGTGCATTTTCTCTATTAAATCTCTTGAATGTGTGGGAAAGTAAAAATAATTCATATTGTTTAAAAAAAAAGAGAAAAAATAAAGGGCATCTACTGAAAAATGAGTGTCCACAAAATAATGTTTTGAGTAGTAAGAATGTGTGCAGGAGTATGGTGAGCCAGGTAATTGAGAACCAATTATAATATATAGAGATATGATTATTATTATGAACTTGAGAGCATATACAATGCATACAGACAGTTACTTCTGAAACATAGTTAACTCTGTAGAGTGGAACTCCTTTCTTTTTGAAAATGGTTCTGTCTGAGCCATTGTCTTGTACAGTTCTCATTTTTCCAAACATTCTTTGCTCGATTTAACAAGAATTCAATAAAATATCATTAGTTCTGTAAACACATCTAACATAGATAGTATGCAGTTCAAGATAGACAGAGATAGATAGATGGTATGTATAGACAATGATAGATAGGTTGCACATAAATCAAAATAGATAGATTGTAGATAGATATATAGATAGATAGATAGATTGTATATAAACAGAGATAAATTGTAGATAGATAGATAGATAGATTGTATAGAAACAGAGATAGATTGTACATAGGAAGAGATAGATAGATAGATAGATAGATAGATAGATAGATAGATAGATAGTATACTGACTTAGTACACACTGAGATTGTGAACAAATTTATATAGATACATAATTAACAGATTGAGAGAAAGGAAAGCCATCTAAACCTGTTATCTAAGCCTGTTCATATCAATATAATTGCATTTATGTATGTAGCTATCTAGAATGATTTATCTACATTTAAATAAATTATTGTTCTTGTTTTGACCTTAGTGATATCCTCAGTCAGCCTGTTGTGACAGTTCCATTTATAAACGATTCCTTCACATTTTCTTTTTTACACTCACTCATATACCAGTTCAGCCTTTTTTCTCTCTCTCTATTTTCAAGTTTCCAACTATTTTATTTTCCTCCTTTACCTACTGTGTGTCAGTGTATGTTTGTAAGTACATTGCATATAAGTCTATAGTATACATCAATAGATATGTTTCTGTGTGTGTTTTATAATTAATGCCCCTCCACTCTCACTCTTTCCCTCTGTGTGTGAGTGTGTATGTGTGTGTAAATATATATATATATATATATATATATATATATATGACTGTGTATCTGTGTGTGTAAATATATACGTTTGTGAATATTTGTGTGTAAATATATGTGTGCATGTCTTTAAATATATATGTATATATATATGTGTGTGTGTGTGTGTAATCATGTGTATGTGTATATATATATATATATATATATATGTGTGTGGTTGTGTAAATATGTGTTAATATATGTGTATTTGTGTAAATATGTGTGTATATATATATGTGTGTGTTTGTGTAAATGTATATGCATATATATTTGTAAATGTATGTGTGTATACATGTGCGTGTATATATGTGTATATGTAAATATATATGAATATATACATACATATGTATGTGCATTTGTGTCTACATATATGTATATATACACGCATATGTGTGTGTATATACATTTCTCTTCGTTCTCTCTCTTATTCTATATATATGTGTGTGTGTTTATGTATATGTGTATATATATGCATATGTTTACATATACATTTTTCTTTTATACTTATATACACACACTCACATACAATATATATATATATATATATATATATATATATATATTTTTACCTAACCCTATACATTTTAAAGGACTTCTCTGCACCATATCTGCCCATGATTACTGGATATTTTTATAAAAATTTATGTTTTCATGTCGATCAAAACCTGATAAAATAGTTGGAAAACATGTAGAAAAAAAAAACAGCCTAATGGTCAGCTTGATGCAAGGCACCTTTTTTTTCATTCATCATTGTTTCAGTCTTCAAAACAAAGAAGGAATAATTGCTATTTTCAATTTGATTTATTTACTGCATGAATTTTTGGGACAGACTGTTTTGCAAGAGTTTGTCTGAAGCATCTTTCCCAAAAGTTGATATCCATCTTGAAGGCGTTTTTTGTCTCTCTTCTTTAAAATATAGGATAATCAAATAAATGGATTATTTTTCTCTTTTTGTTCTTGTTACCTCATTGGTATGTGTCACAATTGAATTGCTGTCCGACAAGCAGTATTTCTAAAGGGACAATTATATGAATATTTTCTCCAGTATAACAATAATAATAATTATTATTGTTATTATTATTATTATTATAGTCTTCTTCTTATATGTACTGTGTGCCTTATAAACATGGGCGATCATGTCCCTCCACAACTTTCTATTTTTGTAGCTATTAACAATGTTTATCATTTCAGTATATCTCCTACCCTGTTTTGTGCTTTCCACTTAGACAAACTTGTTAGTTAGATTACTTGCTGTTTCCCCTCTGTCAATTTTGCTTTTAATATGACGTGTGTCAAATTCTCAAAGCCTTCTTGTTGCTTAGCTCCCTCATGATGGAAGGTCCTGGTCAAATATACCAATTCGATAAAATGTTGCATCTTCTCTCTTGGACAGTGGTTGCTAGATGATTTTGGGTAGCAATGAATGACATCAGACATGGATAATTTTAACTTTACTATTTTATTAATGTTGATATGTACTAACT